ACCAGAACATGGTCACAAAGAGCAATGACTCGGGCTTTGTTTTTCTTGGTTTTGGATTATTAGAGTACTTGTTTTCAAACTTTCGTGAACATAAAACTCACCAGGGGAGTCTGTTAACTGCAGCTTCCCAGGCTTTGTGAGAGACGGAGGTGCTGGCTCTCAGGTGGGGCCTAGAAGTCAGGTGATTCTCTTGAAGACAGTCCAGGACTCTACTTAGAGATCATTGTTCCCCACAGGGCCTAACAGGGAATGCGTCTCCATGCCCGTGTTTACATTTCACCTTCTTATCTGTGTCCTCAGTTCTCTCCACGAAAAAGGACTGAATGTACTTGGTTTAATATTTAGTTATGTGAGCGCCTTCCCACATGCTGAGAGTTGCAAAATCTCTAAAACGACGCGGTCAATAAATTACACACATATTTTATGTGCGTTATCTGAGGACTCTCCATTTCCTGTTGATCTCACCTTTACAAACAGTTATGTTTTTCTCTTGAACAACTATTTCTGGCATATGAACACTGGACTTAGGTATTGCTGGTCGGCTCCTCTTTGCACACTGGCTGCTAAGAAGTTTAGAGAAATGTATGGCTTACCTCTGCTAAACGCAAAGACCTTCTAAACTCACCTTGGCTTTGTCTTCCTTACTCTTATTTTCCCTTTGCCTCAATTCCCTATTTTTACATTTTATATTAACTTTCAAAGCTGCTGAAGATCTTCTGTGGAACAAGGTGTGTGGGTGTTGTGTGGGTGGTATGTGTGTGTGTAAATGGATAAATAAATTAATACAGGTTAAAAACTGGATGACAAAAGCAATAAACTATGAATAAGAGGGTTTGGGTTTTACCTTGAAGCTACAACTTTATTAGTCAGTGGACTAATAAGTATCACAATCTAGTTCTCCAAAAATTTTAATTTATAATATATAACCCTTTCTTAAATTATTATTTTTTTGAGAATTAATGGGTTTGAAAGCGCATGGATATCTGTAAAGTGCTATATAAATAAAAAAGATGATTACATTATTTTATTAATTATGCATTGCTAGAACCTCATGTTTTAACATGTATCAGCAAGTGACTTTTGGTGAGTGATAAGAAGAATGTCTATTAAATTTTACTGGCATGTGTTCTAATCCATTTCTATTTTTAAGCAGAAGATATTACAAAATGTTTTAACTATTGACAAAAAAGCTATTTTATGAACAAAATTAGAAAAATCAAACTTTTTGTGTCAACCCTTTTTTCTTTCAATGAATTTACAATTTGTAACCTAAACTTTAAATGATTTGAACAAAGGTGTCAAAGAAAAAAAATGCAGTTAGCAATATAATTGGGGAGTAAATTCGCCTCTCATTAAATTATAAATAAGTCATTATATAATTAATAAACATGCATAAATAAAAAAACTCCACTGAATTAATAAAACTGACTATTGGTATGCAGCAACATATAGAAAGAGATTAGCCTAAGCTAAAACTGAAGACTTTCATAATAACTACAAAACAACAATTTTATTTTAATATGCAATCTGAGAAATAAGTGCCAAATTGCCAACAATAAACAAAATCTTGGAAAAATTACCACATTAAAAGTTTTAAAATTCTAAACTGAAAACTCAAAACCCAGATGCCTATCAGAGTCACAAGCCCATTAGTCAAGGAAGCCAAACTCAGGATCATTCAGCATTCCATGATGCTACTTCATCTTGGTACTAACAGAAAATACTGAATTTGATGTATAACTCAAGGCAGGATACTTTCAAGTTTTAAATACTCAACGACTTCAGTGTACTATATTTGCTCTTAATTAAATTAATACAACTTTAGATGTAAAGATCACCTTTATAACATTGACTAAAGATTATCCAATATTTTGGGAAGCAAACCAATTTATTTTACATATATAAAAACGATAATGTCATCTTGTACTTTTTATACATATAAAATACTTTCAAATATAGATTAACTAATTTCTTATATATATATTTTGGGTTTTCACATTACTATTAAGATGAAGGAAGAGTCCACAGGAAACTAACGTTCTCTGAATACCTAAATCATGAGCATTTTGCTGGATGTTTTGACAAATATGTCATCTAAAAATTATACTAAATGAAGTTTTATGCCTTTTTATAATCTAGCAACCATAGTAACTGAATATTGGTATATGGCAACATTACAGAAATCAGCCTAAGCTAAACGTATAGCATCTTTTAAAAAGGGTAAAGAAAAGGAAAAACAAGAAGAACACAAAGTTATACAAAGATTTTAAAAACAAATGTCACACGACTGGACCACAGATATTCATGTTATCAACTTGGACTGGAGTTTCATATTTAGTGAACGGCATTTAATTATAAGTAGAGGGCTCATAAGTGCCTGTAAGACACCTAGTATAATAGCATGGACATGGCAGATAGTCAATAAAATAATTTTAACTTCTGTTGATATCTTTGTTGTTGTTCATTTATCAACTTAGTAAAAATCAGCCAATAGGTAGTGTGGCACTGGCCTATAAAACTTTTGAGGTCCCATCTAAGCTTAGAGTTCTATGAAGTCCTCCATAATTTATCGTCTGTTCCAACACATTTGGCATAAGCTACAACCTTACAGTATGAATCACCTTTCTAAGTTTATGGGCTGACTCTTAGATAAGTAGGCCTATGTGGCTAATACTATTCACAGCTCTAACACTATCTGACATAATTTAATAAGAGGTAGTCAACAACTGTTCATTATAAATCTGATGTTTCATAAGTTTAAGTCTTATCAACTGTGTTCTGGGAAAAGAATTACAAATTTTTCCTTAACTTCGCTGCCTTCCCATTGCTTTATAGAATGGCAAAATTCCTTCATTTGGAATTCAAAGCACTATACTAGACTTCTATCCTCAATCTACATTCCAGCCCTGATGACACAGCACTTACCAAACTCACTGTATACTTTTATACCTCTAAACATTCGCTGGTTTGGTTCTCTGGGTGCTTCAAGATGGCACACACCTATTCATTCTGCCAAGTTCACCCATCAGGCTCTTCCATGAAGCTTTCGCAAAACTGACTACCGTTCCTGCCACCACCACCCAACCCGTCCTGGAGGACAGATCCTTCCCTCCATTTGGCAGCCATTTTTTTTTAAAGCATTTTCACAGGTATTATTAGTGTGCCTTCTCCTTTGTGAAACTTTCTAAGCCCCCCACATCCAGAGTTCAGCCCTCCATTTATTGTCCAACCTGGTCCCTGGTATGTAATTCTACTCCAGCACATAACATAGCACCCTGGAGTTATTTCTCTTCATAATTACCAACCCTATTAGACACTGAGCTCTTTGAGGATATCATCCCATTCATCCCTGTACCCCCAGGGCCTAGGTAGTACTTGATACATAGTAGGTGTTCACACAAAATACAACTGCTTCCTATCAGAAAAAAAACTTGTACTCAGCATTCACTTTAGACACCTGCCCCCCTAGCATTGAAGCAGGATCCTTACTTTCCAGTGAGCAATAGGAAACAAAAGTGGATACGCAGCAAACTAAGGTTACTTGAGGATGCTGCTTGGGGAGGAGGCAGGCTTCCAGCCAAGAGAAAAGGCCCTTTAAACATAAAGAAGGCGTATTCACAAAGAGTGACTGGTGTCTAAGGAATGCTTTGCTAACACTCAGTTAAGTCCTAATAAAATGGCTTCTTCACCTCCACTAAGTGACAGACAAATGACCATTTTCACTTAGGTATTTCCTTAGAGAACAACTGAATGATAATCCTGACAGCTACATTAATTCTTAACATCAATTATCGGCATAAAAAAATTTAATATATATATAATTTTTAACAAAAGGAACATAAGCCAAAATTGATGTGGCATGATGCTTAAAAAATTACAGTATTCTCACATGCTTAATCCATATCACAAGAAAAGATGCATCTGTACACATGTGTAATACAACATCATCTGTTTCTTATACGCATTCATGTTTTAACTTCTGGTTGGTGGAAATCAGAAACAGCAAAACGAAGTGACAAAAATATAAAATGTAAAGTCTATTGTAAATATGAAAAAATATATGAGGAGGCTGATAGAGTGGAATTCATTCAGCAAAAACTTGTCAAAATACCAGGAAATACAGAAGACATAAAGATGCATAGTGCAATGTTACTGCTCTAAAAAAAAGCTTTTCACTACAAAACACTCATAGAACTGAGCAAAAAATAAATAAGCATATCATTGAACTAGTCTTACAAAAGAAAAATGCTATGTAACTATGACCAAATGGTTATTCTCTTTTTTTACAAAAACAATTATCTTCAACAGATTTAAATGTTATTTTTACTGAATACATGGAGGTAAAAAAAATTTTTTTTTAATGTACCTCGAGCTATAAACATTTTGAAAACTAAAAATACTTTAAAGGAAAAATAAACATAATTTTACTACATTTTGACATTTAAAAAATCTTAATTTCATAACAATTATATGCTACACACATATAAAATTCTTAGTTATAGTTAACATATGCAACATTGTTTATAAAAGTTTTAACTTCTCTTGGCTTCTTTTCTTGTTTTCTCATAGGTAAAACATCTATAATATGCAGATGCTAGCCTTTATATTAAAAATAAAATTTACCAGCCAAAATGTGGCATAAATGTTTCTATCGGCTAAAAAGTGTATCTTCTCTTCTAAGTCAGAGCTTCCTAATTCTCCTTTTTTGTAATGTAAATGTTAATTTGAGTAATGGATATAAGAATAGACATGTTCAATACATGCTATCTCTTATTCATTTTTTACATTTTGAGAAAAACCTCTTCATGACCCAATATCAAATTGCTGGTTCCATTATATTTGTGTTTTTGAGTATATGCTGCCTAAATTGATTTAGAAAGTAAACAGCTATTAATGATTGGATTTCTAACTTAACAAGACAACTAACCATAACAAAATATTTTAAGAAGTATTTGCTACTGAAAATTATTTATTTTGCATGCTATGGAAGGCTTCTTTACCTGCAGATGGCTGGGAAACACTCTTGAAGACCTTTCTTTTTAACTAGAGATCCTTCGAGGCAGTACATAATGATGTCCATAACCTTTGTAGAAAAGATACAAATCTGAAATTAATGTCAAATACTTAATTTTCCAAAATTAAAATTTTTAACTTAGGCCTCATTTGCCCATGGCAATTCTAGATAGTTTGATTTTAATATTTACTTTAAATCTACAGCGTATTTAGTAAAACTACAGTATTTTTACTTTATACAAGAGGCTATCTTTTCTTTTGTCTGTGAAAAACATTTATAAGGCAATGCAGTAAAATAAGGAAGCCGGACTTTTTACTTTAAAGGCTATACATATTTATGCACAGTATAGGTAGCTTTTATTCAAGCACACTGTATGTTTTTTTTTATTTATAATGAAAGATGCCAAAGAGAATACAACCTTTAGGGGTTATGATAACGCCGGCCAATTAATTCCATGTGAATGGTAAATGAACAGAGCAGTCATTTGATTTTTGAGGAAATTTAAATAAGGTCTCCAGAAATAGTCCAGAAGTTAATTTATTGTTTACCTTTTTCCTTCTTTAGAGATGCTGAAACTAAAGATGCTGATTTGTATTACTACATTGGGATATTTAATTTAGGCTGTTGACGTGTCATTTAAAACAGGATATTCTTACCTCTACAAGAAGATCCACTACATCTGTGGGCATCTTTTCGATAAGAATTTCAATGACTCTCAGAATTTCCCCTTTGGCTCGTGCAAGAGCTGTAGTGTGAATATTCTGCTGCGATTGGGTGTTTGCTGCGAGAGCAGTATGTCTGTGTACCTACAAAAACATTCACACTGTAGATATGGTTGACATTTGACAGGGTTTTTTACATTTCTAGCTATTGGTTTATTTTTCACTTATTATAATAGAAAAATAAAAGAATCAACACAAGCAAACCTCCTGAGGTGAGTCAGGAAATACTTCTGATTGCAAAAGAAGGTATTTAGTACAACAAAAACTCAGTAAGTATTCTTTAATAAAATTCTGTAAGTTTCTGGGTCTATGAGACTAATGCAATATCACCATGACATTTCTTAAAAAGAGACAAGCTGAAGATTTGTGAAGTTGGTATATTTGGCACCAAGGTAGATAGCAGTTAGGGGGTATCAGCAAATATAAAATAAGATCTTTGTTCTCAAGTAGTAATAATAATAATGTTTATATGCCACTTGCTATATCTCCATTCTAGGTGCTTTATAATCAAGTTGGGAAAGTCAAATAAACCTGCTTCCAAAAATAATGAGCGCTGTAAATAATGTAAGTCTAGTGTGATTTTTCCTCCACACAAATTGTAAGTCTTACACAGTTCAGAGAGGAGAGAGCATTAATGGGCCCGGGACTGGCCCTGGCCTAGCCCTGGTGGAATGGGCATGGAGATGGCATAGCAGATGGCAACAACAGTGAGAAACACTTCAGCATTGTACTCGAAAAATCTAAGTGAAATCGAAAACTTGTTTGTAAAAGGTAATCAAAGTGGACTGCTACATAAAAATATTTAAAAATTACCTTTCTAACCAAATGCTGGAGTAGAATAAATCCAAAGCATGGTTATTCTAACAGTTCATTTAAAAACACTCATATATGTAAATAGTGCAAATTAAGTTAAAAAACACAATATAAATGCTTGTTTATTCTCTTTAAGGAGGCAATTTAATGCCTGGCACTTATGGGACATGTATATGTGGTCAGGCAGATATAAGACTTATTCAATATATTCAGTATTACTATCTGTGCATATTCTACTGATGGGAAAAACTGGTAAAAAAAAATTCCATGGCTAATAAATCTGTTTATTTATACATATATACACTTGATATAAATATATATCGATAAACTATATAAACACATATATACATGTTTTAAATATAGTGGAAACTCACTTTAATACTGTGCACTATTAGAAAAACACACATCCTTAAGTCTACAAATTTAGTTTAGCTATGAATTCAAAGTTCACTGCCTCTATAAACCTATATGAGCAGCTATTAGGACCATCCTTCCTTCTAGCTGTCTTCAAGTCACAAATATTTGCTGCATGCCTATTAAGGATGGCTCCAGGGCAGACACAGGCCCAATAGGTTTCAGGTTATCAGGGCAGGCTCAGAGGTATTTGTTTAGTATTTTAAAAATTCATCACAGCTAACGGAAAAACAACTCCGACAGAACCCATACCCCATGGACCGAATCTGCACATTATTCATACTGAAATGGAATAAACCTTTAAAAACAGCTAGAAGCTTATCATCCTCTCCTTTCTCTCACACTACTAAGACCTACAGGAAAGATCCTATAATTGGTTCATTGTTCTTTACTAGTTTTTCAGTTAGATGTGGGCAATTAGTTACAACACTAAGAATGTGGGAATCAATTGGCATTCAAGCTTTTATCTGTGACATGTAATAGGAAAAACAATTAGCAAGTTTATGACTTACATTTTTGTTTACAGTTGGAAAAGCCAGTGTTAAGTAAGAAGTTTAGTTTTGAATACACGTAGGTACACTTGTAAAATATGAACACCTTTAATATATTTGAATTTGAATAAGCCTGCTATATTCCAGATTGAAAAATTATTGCTAAATATTTACAAGTGAATTAACTTCGACACAGAAATGAACAGAAAAGCACAAAGCAATGAATATACCGCCGCAGAATTCAGGGTGCATGCACACGGGTACATATGTACTTGTTTCAGTACCACATTATTAACTTGCATTTTTCTAGAATATACTGGAAGGCATTTTTGTGGATACAGACCCTCAGCTCACAGTATCAAATAATTCCTCTGAATGAGAAGGTGGAGCTCACTGAGAAGTTCCCCTCACCTCTTTGGCTATAGTGGTGATGAAGGCGGGTGGTCTGGCCGTGGCAATGAGCGACAGGGCATGCCTCGCAGAGCGGGCGGAGTCAGCTGCTGGGCTCAAAGGCAGCCCCATTGTGATGCTAACCAGGGATCAGAAAAAAAGGGAAAAAGAAAAGAAGCATTAGAAATATAGACTGAAAAGATTAGACACAGCTTATAATGTCAGTTCAAGGTCAATGGGAGCACTCAAACAGTTAGAATATAATGGACTTGCAACAATGAGCAGTGATTAGGAGTCAGGGTGTTCTGGCATCAAATACAAAATCGAATAATTAACCGTGAAGATTGAAAACAGTATGTGCATCTGTCCAAAGTGTTACAAACGCCTTGTTAACAAATTATCAAGAACTAGTGCTGAATCTATATCACAAAGCTCAGAATAAAGCAAGAGCAAACACTTTGTTGGAAATTTCCCAGTGTTTTCCTAAAAAAAAGTTAATTTGTTTATACGCTGCATTAAAAGGCTATATTTAAGAACATATATCTGAAAGGGAGCAAAATTTACTCCTGCCTGTAAAATTACCAAAAGAACTGAGAATGACCGAATTATTTTTAGTTTGTATATTTAGTTTGAATTATCCTCAATACTGGTAGTTTACCCCACACTCAATACTTTCCAAAGCAATCG